AGCTTCAGTTTAAAATAAGTGGGCATTATGTTCACAAAGAGCTTACATTGTTGGGTTTCACTTATTAGTCTCTTAAAGGTAAGGATTCATTTAACCTTCATCTCTAAAACACTCAATACTGAACTTATTCTGAAAACTAATAGTAATGTAGTTAATCAGCCTAGAACAACAGTTACTAAATCTAGTAACACACTCTTAAATTATTTACAATTCCATCAGCCTGGCAATGGTGGCACACACCTTTTTGTCCCAGCACTCAGAAGGTAGAGGCAAGCAGATCTCTGAGTTTGAAGCCAGTCTACAGAGCAAGTTCTAGGACAACTAGGGCTACACAGAGAAACTCTGTCTTGGAAAACAAAATAATTAAATAATCCCTAAAATGTTAGCATACTTTTTTTTCCAAGTCAAAATTCCTAAAAGTAGCACTATTTCATACTGTTGCATATTGCTTTATTGTATAGCTCAATTAAAGACTTGTTTTGGGCCAGGCGGTGGTGGCACTTGGGAGGCAGAGGCAGGTTGGCAGATCTCTGTGAGTTCTGAGGCCAGCCTGGTCTACAGAGAGAGTTCCAGGGTAGGATCCAAAGTTACAGAGAAACCCTGTCTTGAAAAAACAAATATACAGAGTTAGAAATTTTAGAATTATTTTTGCTCTAGTTTGAATTCAGGCTGACACACCTTCTATATCCTAAGCTAAACTAAGCATTTACAGATCATCTTTCCTCCCTTCTCTTCCCTTACTTGTAATTGTCTGGGGAGATATTCATAAATTCATTTCTATCCAGAGTAAACAGAAATTAATCCAGATTATTATAAACAAATCCACCCCACAACTAATCTACGGTATGGATAGGCTATAAAAACAGAACCACCTCAGCCAGTGGGGGAGCAAGCCTTTGATCCCAGCATTCAGGAAGCAAAGGCAGGGGAATCTGAGTTTGAGGGCAGTCTGATCTACAGAGCAAGTTCCAGGTCAGCCAAGGCCACACAGAGAATCCTGTCTCAAAAAACTAAAATAAATAAGTAAATAAATAAAAACAGTTCAACTACATTGTGGAGTTGAATGAAAAAGTTTTCTGAATAATTATTGTTATAGATATAAATGTCAAAAAATGGAAAATTCAAAGTGTCTAAGCAAACAAAAAGGAAAACCAGCAAAAATCTTATGTATTAAAAACCAGCCACACACTTGGAAAACAAAAATGGGATGAAGGAAAATTTAGGTGACAGTACTCCTATTTGAATGCAAATATCATGCAAATTCTTAACATTAATACTGAGACATAGCATTTTATTTTAATTGGCAGCTTTCTGTAAACATTCTGCAACTTACATTGCAGTTTTTCTTTTTCTCAAAAATATCACCTGGAAGAGGGTCATATGGGGGGTGCGTATAATCAAGATCGTTTATGTGTATAAAATTGGCTACCATGTTTTTGAAAAGTGCCATTTTTGAAAAAGTACCAATCATCTGCAGGTTAATGCCCAGATGAAATGGCTTGTTGGTTATGGTACTCTAACCCAGTTTCGTTGTTTCTCGGTTATTCTGAGCGCTCCTACAACTAGAGAATGATGGACCAATCCCGAGTAAGAAATGCAAAGTACAGAAAAAGAGCCGACCGCTCCGCACCCCCGATGGTAAAAAAAAAAAAAAAAGAAAGACTGAAAGGGAGCAGCGGCGGACAGGCCCTCCCGGCAAACACAACGGAAAGCAGCGTCTTCTGGGTCCCAGGGACCACAGGCAAGGCTTCCTCTCCGCCCCCCACTCTGAGACCAAGAACCCAAAGTGGAGTCGAGCCGCTTTTCGGGGCCACCTACCCTCCCAGTCAGGGGTTCTCTCCCGTTACATAACTAGGCCTGGGGCCCTGCTTCTGCCATCAGTCCTCCCCAGGGAAACGGTCGTTTTCTCTTAGGTCGCTCCGAGGGACGGGGGAGCGGGCCTGGGCCCCCGCGGACCCGCGAGAAGCCCGGGAGCCGCCGAGAGAGCCGCGGCGCCGGGCAGCGGGAGGGGGAGCGCGGAGAAGGCGGCGGAGGGCGGGTGTCCCCGGAGCCCGCGGTCCCTGGCGGCTCGGCCCGACTCGGCCGGGCGCTCGGCGTCCCTCGCGGCCCCCTCCCCAGCACAGCCCCCTCCCCCAGCTGCGTCCCCTCCCCCGCGCCGCGGTTCCCGGGCCGGCCGGCGGACGACAGCCCTGAGCCCCGATGCCCTGGCCCGGTACCTGGTCAGACATGGTGACGGTGGCTTCACCCGAGGGTCTCCGCACCACAGCGGCCTCCGGCAGGCAGAACCTCACTCTGAGGTTTACAAATCTGTCTCTTCCCCACAGCACAACACCGCGGCTGCAGGGACTTCCGCTACGTCTTGCGTCACTTCCGCTGCGCGCAAATGAGACTTTGGGAAGACGGGAAAAGGAGGCGGGAAAACGCCTTGGGGAAGGCCTTGGGGCGTCTGGCCTGTAAAATTGCTTGCCGGGAGCAAGAGAACGGCTGTGTGTTCTGCCGATCGGAGAACCCGGCCCGCTGTCTCGGCCCCGAGGGAGAGCAGGACTTCGCCATCAGGCTGAATGCTTGGGGTCAAACTGACGTCCTAGACTCCTCCCTCTCGGACACCTTGCGCGCTTTGGAGGACTAAACCGAGTTAGTTCTTTTGTCTCCTCCCAACCATGCCACCCGTCCCTAAATATAGTGAATCGACAGTATAATATTTTTATTACCTCCTCTTGCTTGCTGCCAGCACACTCATGACCTTGATTTAAAACCACTACGAAACGACGACCCCTTAGGACACATCTTTTGTTTTCTTTTTTGAGCAGCCCTGGCCTCTCTAGAACTCATCAGCTATGTAGATAAGGCTCCTCGAACTCACAGAGATCCTCCTACCTCTGCCCTCAGCTCTAGGACAGTTTTGAAAGATGTTGAAAGTTTTGAAGTCGTGGGCAGAAGAAGCTACCTCCAACCATTAGTGAGTTGCCTTTCGTCACAGAAAGACCTAAAATTCTTTCTTTGACTACCAAGACCTTCTTGTACAGGCAGGCATTCAATGTGGATTAAAGATATATAAGTAAAAGGAGTAAAACTGAAAAACAATTTTGTTTTGTTTTGTTTTGTTTGAGACAGAGTTTCTCTGTGCAGTGTAGCTTTGGAACCTCTCCTGGAACTCGCTCTTGTAGATCAGGCTGACCTCAAACTCAGAGATGCACCTGCCTCTGCCCCCCCCCCCTTGTGTGCCACCACCGACCAACAAAATTGAAAATTACAAGGTAAATCAATAACCCTTCACAGTACAAGATATTAGTAAAAAAATATTTTCTATAGTTAGTAATTAAGCGACTGGAGATGGTCCAGCAGCCAAAGAGCACTGGTTGTTCTTCCAAAGAACTAGGGTTTGATTCCCAACACCCACATACTCATTCACAACTACCTGTAACTCCAGTCCCAGAGTACCCGATGCCTTTTTCTAGCCTCTGTCAGCACCAGGCCAGGCTCCCACATATGACTTAGACATGCATGCAGACAAAAACACCTATACACGTTCAAACATTTAAAAATTGACAATAGCAATAGTTTGGTAAGGAGACTACCAAATGTTCACATGCAGAAAGAGGAATTTGAATCCCTATCTCACTGTATATACAAAATTAAAATGTTTCAAAGGTGTGTACATAAGACTGTCTTAGTTAGGGTTTCTTTTTTTATTATTAGTTAGGGTTTCTGTTACTGCAATGAAACTGACCAAAAAGAAAACATTTCCACATTGTAGTCCATTATTGTAGGAAGCCAAGACAGGAACTCAAACAGGGCAGGAACCTCAAGGCAGGGGTACTGCTTACTGACTTACAGGCTTGCTCTTCATGGCTTGCTCACTTATTTTCTTATAGAACCCAGGACCACTAGCCTTGTGAACCACCCATGAATCACTAATGCAGAAAGTGCACTACAGGTTTGTTTACAACCTGATCTTATGGGGGCATTTTATTTCTTGTTTATTTGGGTTTTTTGTTTGTTTGTTTTTTGTTTTGGTTGGTTGGTTGTTTTTTCTTTGTGTGGTGTGTGTATGTGTGGGGTTTTTTTGTTGTTGTTGTCATTGGAGGCAGGGTTTCACTATATAGCCCTGGCTGTCTTGGAACTCTCTCTGTAGACCGCACTGGTCTCTAACTCACAGAGATCCTCCTGTTTCTGGCTCCTAGATGATGGGATGCACCATCACTGCCAGGTTAGAGGCATTTTCTTAATTGAGAGGGTTCCTCCTCTCAGATGACTCTAGCTCCTGTCAAGTTGACTAAAACTATCCAGCACAAAGACCTAAAAGTGAAATTCTTAGGAGAGAATACAAACCTTTATGGCTTTTATTTGTTGATTATGTTTTTGGTGGCAGGGTGTTTATATTTGGCCCAGGCTGTCCAGGAACTCAGCTCTTGCCTTTCAAGTACTAGAATTTCAAGTTTCTAATATCCCACCTGTGGTGATATCTTGATTGCACAAATAAAGCCTGCCTGAAGGTCAGAGAATGGAACTTGCCACTAGCAAACTATAGAGGTCTAGAGGTCTGTACAGACAGCCAGGAAGTGAGGTAGCTGGGCAGAAACAGGATATAAGCAGGGAAAAAAAGGAACTCACTCTCTAGTCTACTGAGACACCAAGTAGGTGTGGTAAGGTGTGGTGGTGGTTTGCTCCTTCTTCTCTCTGATCTCTCAGCATTTTCCTCTATATCTGACTCCGAGTTGTTATTACTTAGACCAGTTAAGAACTTCATTTACACCCACCCCACTTGGATTAGATAAATGATGGGTTTTTTAGCTATGGCACCAAAAGCACAAATTACCAAAGGAAAACTAAAAATTTTGAATTCATCAAAAGTTTAACTTTTGTCATTAGTGTTCAAAAACAGCAAAAAATGAAATATTTTTGAAAATAGTACTTGTCAAAACATAAAATCAATATATAAAGAAATCTGTTATAACTCAGCAATAAAAACTCAACCCAATTAAAAGATGGCCAATAGAGTGTTCACTTAGGCAGCACATATACTACAAGTGGAAAGACACAGAGATTAGCATGACCCCTATGAAAAGACGACGTGCAAGTTTGTGAAGGAGTCTATATTTTTTATGCTGAGTCCATCCCTGAGCTGTAAGCCACCATCAAGAACATGAAGTGGGTGATTTGAGCCTTGAGCAGCATCATCCTAACGTGTCCAGCATTGTGCCACTGAAGCTCTTCAGAGAGCTTGGTCTTTGATTTGCTTTGATGGTGGGTATTGTACCAACATCCGAATCCTAACAAAATATGGAAAAAAAAGGTTTTTTTTTTTTTTAAATTTCCTCCTGTAGTCATGAATGTTATATCTCCAATTAAAATACACAACTGGACATGAAAACATGTTCAACATCACCAGTCATCACTAATCTAAAGGGCAAGGAGACTTGGAATGCCAGCCTCAGCCTATGGTGTGTAGTGAGAACTTCTCTCAAGACAAAAACAGTAATAATGGCAAGGACTAAAGCATGTGCACAGGTCTGGACTTGATCTCAAACATCAAAAAGTAATTTTAAAGAAAATTACAAAGAGATACCACTTTACATCCACTGAGATGGTTAATTGTAAAAAAAAAAAAAAGATAATAACCAGTAGTAACAAGCCTATGGGAAAATTGAAACACACACATACACAGAAAATAGAAATATCCTTAAACTGTAAAACATAACTATATGACCTAGCAATTCTCCCACATACTCAAGAAGGATGCAAACATACAGTCACACAAGATCAAGTACACAAAGGCTCACCCAACTTTATTCGTAATAGCTGATTGTCAAGCCAGGCAGTGGTGGCACACCTTTTAATCCCAGCACTTGGGAGACAGAGGCAGGAGGATCTCTGTGAGTTCGAGGCCAGCCTGGTCTACAAAGCAGGTTCCAGGACAGGCTCCAAAGCTACAGAGAGAAACCCTGTCTTGAAAAACCAATAAATAAATAAAATACTCTATTGTCAAGTAATAAATGGATGATAGCCTCCTCCAAAGCCACAGATAAACCCTGTCTCAAAAAACAAATAAATGGATGATTTAAAAAAAAAAAAACAGATCTTAGGTGGATGGAGAGATGGCTCAGTGATTAAGAGCACTGGCTGCTCTTCCAGAGCACCTGGGTTTGATTCCCAGTACACACCTGGGAGATAACAACCACTGTAACTCTAGTTCCAAAGGATCCAGCATTGTCTTCTGGTCTCTACAAGCACTATACACATATAGTGAACACAAACATGCAGACAAAATACACACATAAAATCTTTTTTTTTTTAAAGCGTGCACTGGGGATGGTGAGATGGCTCAGAGGTTAAGAGCACTGGCTGCTCTACCTGAGGTCCTGAGTTCAATTCCCAGCAACCACATAATGGTTCACAACCATCTATAATGAAATCTGATGCCCTCTTCTATCGTGCAAGCACACATGCAGGCAGAACACTGTATGTATAATAAATAAATAAAATCTTTTTTTAAAAAAAGAGAACGAAAACCATGCACTGTCATGCCCCAAAGACATGTGTGTATGTGTGTGTGTGTGTGTGTGTAGTGTGTATAAATATATATATATATGCATATATATATATGAACCAGTAAGATGAATCATTGGGTGGAGATGCTTGCTACCAACCCTGAGAATGTAAGTTGGATCTCTAGGACCCACATGATAATAGGAGAAAACCAATTTCTCCAAGTTGTCTTCTGTACTCCACATTCACACATGCCTTGGCACATGTATGTGCATACACACAGATAAAATATAATTTAAAAAAGCAGTATGGTAGAACATTATTGGGCTATAAAATTGAAGTGCTCATACATGCTACAATATGAACTTTGACTTACTATGCTAAGTGAAAGAAGGCATTTCACAAACACGATTCTAATATGACATGTTCAGAAAGGCAAATCTATGAGGTAGTAGATTACTGAGACTGCACCAACCTATTATGAGAGCCATACAAAAAACAGATTTAATGGCCAGCTAAACAATTCAGTAGGACTTCCAAGTCTAACTTAAGTTTGATCCCTGAGACCCACATGGTAGAAGAAGAGAACTAACTCCTGCATGTTTCCTCTGGCTTCCATATGTATGCCATGCTCTATGTATGTCCACACTTGTAAATAAATGTAATTTAAAACAATTAAAAGAATGTAAAAACAGATTCAAAGGAAAGGGAGCAGGAGGAAGGAGAAAAAAAGACAGAAAATGAGACAGATGGATACGCTCAAAGTACATTAAAAACATACAGAAATGTTCCAATGAAGCCTATTGTGCACATTAATATACGATGTTTTATAAATCTCAAAGATTGTTTATTCAGCAGGGTTTGTTTGCTTGCATTTTGTCTTGCTCCATTTTGAGACAGACTGTCACTGTGTAGTTCTGGCTGGCCTGGAGCTCAAATGTAGACTAATGTACATGCAAAGATCTGCCTGCCTCTTCCTCCTGAGTATTGGGATTAAAGTGACCTACATCATGCCTGGCTGCTTGTTTGTATTTTGACTTTCAGATTCATGATAGAGAAAGATGTCCTCTCATGATAGAAATAGGCTGTCCCCAAACTAGTGGATATGGTTCTGCCTCCTACTCCTCCACCTCTCAAGTGCTGGAATTAGATGTGTTCTACCATATCTAAAAAAAAACAAATCTATGAATAATAGCTATGCTACAGAATGAAGAGTGTTATGAACCTTGAGCATGTTAAATAAGATCAGCTAATCTTTGGTTAAAGAGATTCAGGATTGTAGAAAGGGTTCAGTCCTGATTAAGCAATGTCAGCTCAACTATGGGCAGTTTATTGGTGAGCACTAATTACTAGGCAAGGCAGGCTTTGAAAAAGCTAACAATTTGCATCTATATAAGAAGAATGCATTTTTCAGCAGGGCGGTGGTGGCACATGCCTTTAGTCTCATCACTTGGGAGGCAGAGGCAAACAGATCTCTGTGAGTTAGAGGTCAGCCTGGTCTACAGAGCTAGTTCTAGGACAGCCAGAGCTGTAACACAAAGAAACCCTGTCTCAAAAAAAAAAAAAAAAAAAAAAAAGGATTTTTTTGTTTTTGTTTTTGTTTTTGTTTGTTTGTTTGTTTGTTTTGAGACAGGGTTTCTCTGTATTGTATTGTTTCAGAGCCTGTCCTGGAACTCACTCTGTAGGCCAGGCTGACCTCTAACTCATTAAAGGCGTGCACCACCAACACCGGCCAGCTGGTATATTTTTAACTTTGAGATTGCAAATAAATCCCCATTTATGACTTTGGTTAGCTCTGCTGTAAAAACACAAAATTGGTATGATTTATGTGGGGCCTCCCTACAACATCCCATTGTTTATTTGAGAAAGGATGGTTCCCATCTGCCTCAAGCTCATACCCAATCTTGTGTGCTTTTCCAGAAATAGCCACCATACAAGGTAAAAATGGCTACAATTATTCACAGAATATTTAAATGATGTCATTTATCATTTAGCATTGTAACATAACAAAATTAATGTACAAGTTTCTTGTTGGTGTTTTTGGGACAGGGTTTCTCTGTATTGCTTTGGAGCCTATCCTGGAACTCACTCTGTAGACCAGGCTGGCCTTGAACTCATAGAGATCTACCTGCCTCTGCCTCCTAAGTGCTGGGATTAGAGGCATATGCCATCAACGCCCAGCTCTCTTGTTGGTATTTTAACAATTACCATGAGCTGTGACTGGAATCTGAAGTTGGGAAGGATTAAATTGGTAGAGAAGAAGAACAGGAATTGATAGAAGGAAACAAGTTTATTAAAAAGCCAACTCTGACAGCCAGCGGTGGTGGCACATGTCTTTAATCCCAGCATTTGGGAGGCAGAGGCAAACAGATCTTTGTGAGTTTGAGGCCAGACTGATCTAAAAAACAAGTTCCAGGATAGCTGAAACCTGTCTGGAAAAATAAAAAGTAAATTAAAAGGGGCTAGAGACATGGCTCAGTGGTTGAGAGCACTGGCTGTTCTTCCAGAGGTCCTGAGTCTAATTCCCAGCACCCATATGATGGCTCACAACCATGCCTAATGAGATCTAGTGCCCTCTTCTGGCCTGCAGGCAGACATGCAGGCAGAACCCTGTACATGTATTAAATAAATAAAGAAATCCTTATAAATAAGTAAATAAATAAATAAATAAATAAAAATGTCATCTTTGAGGCAGGCAGTTGTGGCACAATGGCACATGCCTTTAATCCTTTAATCCTGCATTCAGGAGATAGGGACAGGCAGATCTCTGAGTTTGACTCCAGCCTGCTTTACAGAGTAAGTTCCAGGACAGCCAAGGCTACACAGAGAAAACCTGTCTTGGAAAAAAAAAGAATGCCATCTCTGTAGCCAGGTGTGATGGTATGGTGGTGCATGCCTTCTTTCAGTTTCTCTGCAGAATCAAAAAAAAATCGATTTTATTCTCCTATAGTGGATTAGCTGGAACCTAGGAGAGGTACTCTTCCTTACAAAGGATTAGTGAAGGCAGAAGGCAAAGGAGTAGACAGGGAAATGCACAATTTTAAACAAATCTGTTATGTTTTGATCCATGATTTACAACTCAAATGTATTATGCTACTGTCTTACTCTGCTTTCTAACAAGATGTTGCAGTCTGTATTAATACATAAAGGACACCATTTGGAAGGTTTAAGAGCAATACACCAATGTCATCCTGGCTCTGTTGAGGGCCTCTGGCTACACCACTATGAAACAAATGGTATCACAATAGCAGGAAGTCACAGATGAGGCCAGAGGGACTCAGATGTTAAGCCTACTCTCTCTCTTTCTCTATCTCTCCTCTCCTCTCCCCTCCTCTCCTCTCTCCTCTCTCTTTTTAACTACCCTTTGTCATGAGAACTAAACCACTCATTGAAGCCAACATTAAGTCATTTTAATGGCAAAGCCATTATGACCTAATTTCCTCCCACCAAGTCCTGGTTCTCAAAGGTTCTGTAAGGTTTTGGTACTGCCCTATTAGAGACTGGGCCTCTAACACATGAATCCTTGGGAGAAGAAACCACAGGGCAAACTATAGTACTTACAATTCTAGAAGCCAGAAATCCTAACATGAGGGTCAAGGCACTTACTGATCTTCC